CTCCATGAGAACTACAAAATTCGATTACAGAAACTAGAAGCAATTTATATAAAAAAATGAAAGCCGGCACTGAACAGAATCAACGTTTGATTGATGTAGTTATAGAAGGTGTTATTGAGGCGCGTTTGTTTTTCTATTTTTAAGTTCGCTGTAGAAAATCTGTTTTGTGGATGAATTAGTTTTTGCATGGTTTATTAGTTTTTTTTTTATAATAGCTATTTTATAGTAATTTGGACATTTGCTTTTATAGTTAAACAGAAATTTATGCTGGTAAGTTTTTTATATGGGGAGATGGTGAACTTATTGATGATAATCAGTATATCGTGTATATATATATATATATATATATATATATTTTATATATATATATATATTAAGCATTTCACCCCAAGCAAAGTGGAATGCCAATAGCACGCAAGGGGTTACAGAGAGTAGGAGAAAGAGTAAAGAAGCATGATAGAGGAAAGGATGAAGAGAATAATGGGAAATAGATCAAGGCATCTGGAGATGTCAATTGACATTACATTTTGTATAGTTGGAACTTATAGCTATCAGGGAAACAAGTAATAGGAAGGAATTCCACAGACGGGAGGTGCGAGACATGAAGCTATTGGAGTAGAAGAGATGGCTACATTCAATTTTTTTGACAATGAAAGAGTGGGACCGAGATGCCAGCCTAGTAGCACGTTTAAATTCATGCAGTCTGGGAACTAGCTAGTCAGAGAAGTTACTGCGAAAGTATTTGTAGAAAAGACAGAGGTAGGCGATGACACGTCTGTGAGACAGCGACTGTAGACGAGAGGCCAGATCAGGGCCAATAACATTGAATATCTGCCTCTGGATTTTTCAAGGACCTTAAGATGAACAGTGGGGGCACCAGACCATATATGGCAGCAGTATTCCATGCAAGGGTAAATGGTTGATTTATAGATTTGAAGGATGGACTCAGACGAGAAAAACTTTCTGGCGCAACACAGGGAACCAACTTTCCTTGCAGTGGATGAAGCTATTGATTCAATGTATTTGTTCCATCTGACGTCAGTGGACAGTGTGAGACTAAGCAGTCGCAAAGAGGTGCCCTCGTGGAGTTGAGCATCAGACATTCTAATAAGTGGCAGGGACGGTTCCCTGTGGTGATTAATAGAGAGCAGTTTTGTTTTTGAGGCATTAAAGTTAACCAGCCAATGTCTGCCCCAGTCTACAACCGATTGGAGGTCCTTTTCGAGAATAACGACCACGTTAGTTTTGTCAGCGATACCAGATTTGCTTTTGAGGCAGGAGTAAATAATAGTGTCGTCTGCATATATGCCTACTTGGGAACTGAAGACATTGGGAAGATCGTTAATGAAGATAAGGAACTGAGTAGGGCCCAGGATAGAGCCTTGGGGAACACGTGCGTTCATGGGAAAGGATCTGGAGGAGAATCCGTTAAAGACGACCTTCATTACACGGTTTGACCGGAATTTTAAGTATTAAGTCAAATAATCAACCAGAAATTCAGTGTTCATGAAGCTTACAAAAGGGGCCTGCATGGCAAACCATATGAAATGCTTTAGAGATATCTAGAGCCATGGTACAAGCTTCTCCGTTATTGTGAAGTGATTGGTAAACAATTTCAGTTATGGCCATGAGCATATCAGCTGTAGAACGGGAAAAGTGGAAACCATATTGCTTGTCAGAGAGCAGATCATGGGATGTAAGGTGCTTAACCAATTCGGCGTTGATTAAAGCTTTAAAGACTTTGCCAAACAGTGGTAGGAGACTGATAGTAATTTAGTTAGATAGGTCAGAATGGTCTCTAGAGTTCTTACAGACAGATACAATAGATGAGGACTTCCAACAGGCTGGAAAGCAAGATTCATTGAGGCAGTAGTTATATAATTTGGAGAGAGCATTGGCCAGTTCAGGAGCACTTTTCTTCAACACAATGGCTGGCATCCTGTCTCCACTGTTAGCCTTATGGGAGTCTAATTTAGAGATGATGCCCAATACCAATGATGGGATTATGTGCAACTCACTCAATAGAGCCTCAGTTCTGGGTGGGGAGGATCGGGTGAGGGTACACTGGATAAGTCAAGCGTCGAGTTGGATGAGAATTTCCGAGTAAAGCACACAGCCTTATCAGCTGAGGAAGTTAGGACCTCAAATTGGTTAAACAAAGGAGGTATTGTATTGCTGTTGTTAAGTATGCTCTTGCAGAGGTGCCAATAATCCTTGGAGCTGAATTTGTGAAATGCAATACGTTGTTTCATCCTATCAGCAAATAGTGACTTTGCTTCATCGAGGACATGCTTGCACTCATTATAGGCTGAGACAAAAAGATTTCTGTTGCAATCTGACATGTCACTATGATATAGGCGGAAGAAATTATTCCTATGGCCAATGGCAGCTGAGCAAGCAGCAGAGAACCAAGGGGATGAGTGCAATTTGACCATATATTTCCTTGTGGTGATGAAGGCCTCGATTCCAGCTTTTACCTAGGAGGAGAGCTCGGAAGCGCATTCTTGAATGGGGAGCTTTATCCCAGCAGACATCACGAAGAAAATCCTGGAATGAGTCCCAGTCTGCTCGTTGATAACAGAAAGATGTTTTGTTGGTAGGAGTTTCTTTATTGAGGGGGAATAGAAGGAGATGTTGACAGACACTACAGTATGATCAGAGTTGCTAAGAGGGCAGAGCTGCGTGGTGCAACAGGACTCCAGGATGGAGGTGAAACAGATCAGGAAGGGAATCCTTACCGTCCAGGCTGTTGGGGTAACATCTGGGAAAGTCAACTATTTGTGCGAGGGAGTGAGAAATTGAAAAGTTAAGGGCTTGTATGCCAGCAAGTTCAGTTATAGAGTTTTTAAGCCACTTGGAATGATGGGCATTAAAGTTCCCAAACATAAATATATGAGCAAATGGATGGAGAGAGATAGCCTTGTCTATATTGTTGGGAATGCTTTTGAGTACACCACAGTCTTGAGAGGATGGAGAGCAATAGAGAAAGAAGAGGTAGCTTATAGCATTGAGGAGAGATAGATGGAGATACATGTATAGAGATTCAAGAGAGAGCTCTTTAACCAGTGGGAGATGGTCCTTGACATAAACTCCAAGGCAGTGCATGTGGGTTTGAGAGTCTTTTTCTAAGGAGAGGAAGGAAACCGGGGATTGAGAGGTCAGAAGAGGATAAATGAGTTGAGGTTGGTCTCGCAGAGAGCCAGTATATCAGGAGACTTCTCAATGAGGAACGGTTCCACACTGCAGTAGTTGGTTCGTATGCCATGGAAGTTAGAAAAGGAAATGTTAAAGGGTTTTGGTGATTTTTTAAGAGCTGGTTTAGGTTTACTTTTTAGATCGTTAGTTGTCATGTTGGGTAATTTTGGTGATGAAAATGAGAAGGCCTGAAGTAGAATCAGCAGATGGTCATTGTCTGTGACATGGACAGAAAGCAACTGGCGCAGCCTGCAATATAATGTAGCCTCAGGGTTGTCCACCAGAGGGCACTATGCATGACATGGCAATACAGGCACCCAGTATTATACAACTGTTGATCAGAGTGGCTGCTCAAGATGCTACGCAAGTTTTAGACTGCACACATCTTAGGAGAGTCACAGCAGTACCCATATGGAGTCCAGAGGGAAGGAGAGGAAGAGTTCCGGGAACCCCTTCCTAAACAAAGAACAAAGGGTGAGCCTCTACACTTATTCAAGAGAAGGGGGAGGAGTATTGACCGGGTAGTAGGAAAGCCTACATACTCCTGTTACGCATGCACTAACACACACACAAAAAGAAAGAAAGAAAAGTCTACACTGGCAGTTGACTCAGAGACTTCCTCCGCCCTTTGATAGGTGTGGTTTTTAGTCCTGCTGGCTTGCTAACCAGCCAGCTAACTCAGTATATTTTTGACAGGAATACTTATTGGGTAGGGGGAATTAAAAAAAAAAGCAAAGTCACCATGCTCACCTGTTGGGGGAGGGACCCCCTGCCAACTCAGTGGTCTTTGAAACAAAGATTTTATAGTTTATTTCAAAGCCATTTACCCAATAAGTCAGCTAATTGCCAAATTCTTAAAATGTATATCTTGAAGATTACAACTCAAAGAGCTTGTTTTAGTGATGTTTTATAAATAATATAAAAATCAATAAAACTTTAAAGTGATGCAAGTAATTGAATTCAAAATTTTACTTTATTAATGAATTAGTTGAATTCCATCAGATTTTAATTCATTTTGTATAATGATTCTTTTTAAAGATATAAAATTAACACATTTTGTTATATATATTTTAAAAAAAAGATAAGATTAAACACAAAACAATTGTTATTACTGAACTGTCAGCGTGTTTAAGCAAGAAAAGGTGGATAGAGGCCCACTGATAGCTGCCACCAGAAAGCACTAGCAACTTGCATGTAGGGTAATTATAGAAATCCTTCATATGATCTTTTGATAACATTTCATTTTTTATTTACATCATCAGGACATGATTTAAAGTTTTGGTCCATTAAAAGAAAGAAAAAGAAAAATATATGATTTCAGTGAAAGAAAGAATAACAATCTTTGTAAATCCATTTTATTTTTTCCTGCTTTGTTTTCAAATGTCATCATCTTTTCATGTATTTCACAGTTATTACTTAACTTTTCTTAAAACTACAAAGGAGACATGAAAAATCATTGGCATGAATAACAAGAAGAACTTAAAAAAAATCAATGTTTTGGTCATTTTATCAGATCTTGGAAATGGATTGAACAAGAACTTTGGAGCAATACTCATTTCTCTCAACAATCTTCTCATTTACATTTTATACAACATTTTAAAATGTGTAATTGGTGGGAAGTGTCTTTCTCTCTTTGGAAGTTAGGGTCTCTCTTGTTAAAAGTCAGTTTTTAAGTTTTAATCACATTTTAAACACATATGTCAAATAGTAATTGGTCAACTTAATCATCCATTGCATATATTTTCTCATTTTCTACCAAAACATCAGTTGCCAGAAGATTTTTTTGGAACTAGCCCTCATCCTTTCTATGTCATTACATAGTCACCTGTTTCCATGGGAATATAGTTTCCAGATGGTTCTTTCAGTTGATTTCTCCTAAAAATTCACCAAAATATAATATAAAGAAACAAGAACATAAATAAACTCAACAACAGTCAGTCACAAACATTAAATTTAGAAGTATACAATAGTTAAATAAATTATTTGATAAAATCTGGTTTACTTTTTGCGTAAAAATATTTACTTGCTCAAATTTCTCAAAAATGAAAATGCAGACTACAGCTTTTGCTGATTTCCAAAAGTACAAATAGAATAAAAAAGCCATAACTCTAAGTCACTTAACGATTGATAGAAACTAGAATATTTGTGTTAAAATGTGTGACAAGATAAATTCATTCTTGCTTAAGAATAATGTCCTTTAACATTGCTTAAAATCTACAATATAAATCCAAATTTTATTTGCCGATCCATATTCAAAATATATTTTTAAATTATCAACTAAATATTTATTGATTACTTTCTGATTAGATAATGCCTAAATGCAAAAATATTCCAAAATAAAAATGTAAATTTAAAACATATACTAACCACACACAGATCAGCTGTAAATTAGAAAAATATCTGTTCAATTCAAATAAATCAATAAGATATGTTATATTTTTTTAAATAGTGTAATTAAAGAAAAATATATAAACCTCACCTGAAGTAAATCATAAGTGCAATGATGATAAAAATTACCAGAAGAGGAACCAATGTAACTGTCAGAATTAATTTTAGGTTAACTGAATCAGAGGAAATACAATAAATTATACATTTTAGAGACATTTTTTAAACATAAAAGCATTTTCTTCTGCATTATATACATACATTATTTTAATTTTCTGTTCATAAATCAGGGGAAAAAAGATGAGATCAAAAAAAAGTAATTAAAGCCATTAAAAGAACAATTCTAAATTTCAAACAAGTTTTTAAAATATAAAAACAGTCTTTTGAAATAAATATATATATATATATATATATATATATATATAGTTTTAAAGTATGCTATATTTATGGGATAGGGCTCAATATATATATATATATATGCTAGACGTAATGTTGTTCAATTTTATATTTATATATGTGTGTGTGTGTGTGTATATATGTGTGTGTATATATATATATATATATATATATATATATATATATACATATATATGTGTTTGTGTGTGTGTGTGTGTTATATATATATACACACCAAAACAAAAATGCAAATATATATAAATTTTCTGTTTATGCTATTTTTATAGATACAATTTATTTAAGTATATTCTGTTTTTAATTAAACGGTATTAATTCTATTTACTGGCATGAATGTTCAAGAAATTCAGGCTAGGAAATGTAATTAATACTATTTAATCTACTTAAATAAATTGTATCTATAAAAATAATGAATAAACAAAAATACATTAAATAATCATTGGATTAAATCCATTTCATATATATATATATATATATATATATATATATATATATATATATATATATATTAGCTAAGTGATTGGCTGAATAATTGGCATTGTGTATTCTTCTTGTGTTAACTCTAACTTTATTAGAGATCCATTTTTGCATTCTTTGAACAAGTTTATGGTGTCTTCTGACATTGTCAGTTTATTAATCAATGTCCCTCTTCAGGACACTTTACAGATCTACACTGACACTCTTTATAGGGGTCACCTTGGTCCCCCTAGCATTCCTGAAAACTTGTTTCTGGAATTTATGCATTTAGCTATTGAGGGGTGGCATTCTGCTTTAATGATATTCTGTATACCCCAAATTGATGGGGTTTTGATGGGTAGCTCCTTGTGTCCTGTTTTAGTTAATATTTTTGTTAATTTCTATGAAAACCTTCAATTTGAAAGATACCCTAAACTCTATGTATATTTGCATTATGTGGACAATTCTTTTTCAGTATTTGATTCCATGGAGGAGACTGAAGCTTTCCACGTCCAACTTAATTCCCTCCATCTGTCTTTTGAGTTTACTATGGAGCTGGAGAGTGATTCCTGTTGTGACATTCTCCAGGTAACCATTCTCTCAAAAAATACTATAAATGTTTGTCATTTTCCTGTCCAACCTACGTGGAGGACCTTTCATCAATACAGTATGGTTCAAAGTGGAAATCAGATTTAACTTCCGGGACATAGGAATGAATGAATTTCAATTTATGTACATACTGGTAAATGTAGGCTTCTGATAAACACCAGTAATGAATGACCCTCATACTGTTCAACCAGCACATTCAAAATGGATATCGCTGAATCACTGTCCACCTCCATAGTAAACTGAAATACTTTCTATGTTATATTTGTTCATGCATTCATTTTGAAATTTTATATGAACATCATTTTTATTATTAAAAAAATGAGAAACTCTTTACCTTGTTGACAGTTCTCTCCCTTGTATCCAACAGCACATTTACCATCCAGACATTTGCCATCAATGTGTCTGCATTGCAAATCATCTGCACAATGACATTTTAACTGACAACCATCACCAAAAGTGCCATCATCACATTCTAAAAAAATAAGCAAATGTACTTCATAAAATGCAAATCATGCAAACATTGAGCATGGAAGAATTTGCTTTTAAAAAAATGTTGAATTAAAAATATTTCTTATAATATTCTTTATTTCAGATATTTTTTTTTTTAATAAAGATGATTCAAAAACTTGCTTTTACTATTTATATATAAACATTTTTTTTTTAATTGAGTTCACCACAAGCAAGGCAATAAAGCCACTGAGACATATGGGATTACTGGATGTGGAAAAATTAGAAAACAGAAACATTTCTAAGGAGTACAAACAATAGAAGAGTAATCAGGAAAACAGTAGTTAGTGATTGATATTGCATTTAAATTTCTGAAGATTAAAGTTGTGTAGTGAAAGAGATAATCAGTTACCCCGAAAAAATGTTTGTGTTTTGTGTGCGATCTGCCAAAGAAAAATTACCAAAAAGTAGTTAGCAAAAATCTACATCAATAGAAGTTATGCTAATGTTCTTTCCTCTCCTGAATGGCATGACCAATCAGAAAATTCTCTCAGTGAAAAGAAGTCGTTGTTTTTCACTTATAAAAGGAGATGATTTTTTTGAGCTTGGTGGAATGAACACGTATTGTTGTTGATGAGAAGTGAAGGTTGGATGTGTGACCCCCATTTTGTCATTTCTACGTTGTGTGTTGGACTGTTACGTCAGACTATCATTTGAACTGCGATTTGGCTACAAGTGTTGCAGTCGAGAAACAGAAGAAATCTATTGCAGTTGCTACTATCAGTTGACAGTCTTTTCTTTACTACAACAAGTTGACTGGAAAGTATGGAGCCAGAAGAGAGTTCCACAAGTAAGAAGTATGAGAAAAGAAACAGCATAGAACTTATGGTTACATCTAGTCAACTTGACTCTAAATTGATGAGAACTCATTAGCAGTCTGATACAGCACTTAAATTAATAAAGTCTAGGTACCATAGTGAAGATCTCATCCAAAGAATCACCATGAAAGATGTAATATAATAACTAGTAGAAGCTTTATTTGACTAATTCAGCTTTAGTGCTGCAAATATTTTATTTTATAATAATGGATGGTTATAAACAAAAGGTGATATGAGATGTGCTTATTATATTACCACATTCTCCCCCATTATTTATTTATTCATATGGAAGAAAATCCTTCAAATGTCTTGGTCATCTTGTGGATCCTTTGGATCATTTGGATGGCTAAGCCACATCAAGTCTTGCTTGCATTTCTTCATCAGGTTCCGAGTTTGGGTGCTTTGATCTGACATGCTATTCTGTACTTTGATGCTTGGAGTGTTCCCTTTCTGAATTAGTTGTCAGTGGAATCATCACTTGATGTATCACAGGTACTTCTTCTGCACTTACAGGACCTGCATCCTTTCCTGCTAGAACCAGATTTCTTAGAGAGACAGTATCTTGTCTCCCATCTGGATAGCATACATGAGTATATTGGAGTTTACTTCTATTAGCTCTACTTTATCTGTAAGTTGTTCATGCCTGTTCTGATGAGTACAATGACTCAGTAACATGGTCCCAGGTTGGGAAAGTCACAACGAGAGAGAAGTACCCATAGAGCTTTGTCACAGGAAGGAAAAGAACATTTCATGTGGAGTAGCATTAGTTGCCGCAGACAGCAATAATTTCTAATAGCATATAGATGCTCAGGGAAGAAGCTTTCCCAGTGGCCTATCAGGAACACATGCTTAGCAGCAGCCAACTGTATTGACTTCCATATTATGCTGTTGTACCTTTCACATTAGCCAGTATGCTGAAGGTTTTAAGGTGTTATCCTACTTATGGACACTCTTTGTTCTCACAGGAATTGCTTATTATGATTTGACATAAAGGCTGTCCCCTGGTCAGAGTGGATTTAAGCAGGTAATCTGAAGATGGCTAAAAGAGAGCAGAGGGCTTTAATTACTGTTGTCACTGTTATATCTAGGCAGTGAATAGAAAACAGAAAACAACAGTACACATTGATAATTGTCACTTGATACTTATTCTTTGTTTTCAATGGAAGTGGTCCCTTAAAATCCAAGGCAAGTCTTTTAAAATGTTAAGTGTCTTTTATATCTGTTTCAGTTCTAGGCTTGTAGAACCTACGCTATAATTCTGAGCATTGGTCTCCTTCCCATCTCCAACTGAAAAGAGCAAGATTTTTAATTCAAACCATGTGGAGCATTGTTGTCATGCCCAGTTTGCACAGTTCCTTATGCAGTTTAAGAAGATCATCTCTACAGGTATTTGAGCTGCACACCCTTGAGTGCATGTCAACTGCAACATTCTCTTTGCCAGGTTGATAAAGGAAGTTAAATGAGAAGCAAGAAAACTCTATCTATGCACCTTACTATTTTCTTGTTTTTTTCTTTTACTTTACTCTGTGTCATATATTTGAACATAGATGTGAAATATTTCTGGTCCATGATTAGTTTGAAATAGCGACTGATTAGTGAGTGTTGCCTCTTTCTAAGTGACTCAACAATAGTGTATGCCTCGTTTTCAAATGCTGAGTGTTGCCACTCAAACTACAAAAGAGTTCTTGAAATGAATTCTACAGGATGTTTCGATTGTCTTAACAAGCTATGGTACAGTCCAACATGTCAGTCTTGGCTACCAGATGCTCTGATGGGTCGATTGTTGTGACAATGGCTTCTGCAATGTTCTTTTTAGATCTTTGAATGTTCTGATGGTGCGAGGAGGCAACGAGAATTTAGAAGTCACTGTTAATGTATGTACTTTTTCAGAGAATTAAGGTATCCAATGTGCTTAATGTGCAAACATTCCTAGCACTTGTCAAAGAGAGGGTAAACTGTTTGGCAATGTTTGGGAATGGCATGTGGCTTGGTTCTGTTATCCCTTCTCTAAGTATTCTTTTAATCTTGGCATTAATGAAAAGTTTGTCTATTTATTTTCTTTTTTTTTACCCCAAGCAAGGTGAGAATAACACTAGTATGCAAGGAATTACATGGAATGAAAATGAAGGAGAATATTGAGAATAGGTAGGATTGAGGAAAGGATAAGAAGACTGAAGATGGCTATAGATGTTGCATTTAAATTTTAAGATTGTAGTCATCAGGGAAGCAAGTAAACAGAAGGGAGTTCCACAGGTGGGAAGTGCAAGAAAATAAAATGTTGGAGTAGAAGTGGGAGTTGCATTTAGTTATTTCAACAGTAAAATTGTGGGACCAAGATACCAATCTGGTAGCACACTTAAATTCATGTATTTGAGGGAAAAAAGCTCATCAAAGAAGTTACCATGAAAATATTTGTAGAAAAGACAGAGGGAAGCCTCACCATGTTGGTGAGAAAGTAAATGAAGTTGACAAGCCTTGTTAGGATTGATTACATTACAGATACTCCTTTGGATTTTGTCAAGAATCTTGAAATGTACAGCAGGAGCACCAGACCAGATATGTCAGTAGGATTCAATGTATGAACAAATGGTAGATTTGACAATGAAAGATTCTCTGGCATGAAACAGTGATCCAACTTGCAGTAGATGCAGCTATTGATTTGATGTAGTTGCTCCACTTCAAGTCAGTGGAAACATGAGGCCAAAAAGGTGTAGTATGTTGCTCTCCTAGAGTCGTGTTAGCCATGCTTATGGAAGGCAGAAAAGGTTCTCTATGGTGGTTAAATGAAAGCAGTTTTGTTTTGGAGGTGTTAGAATTTACAAGCCATTTCCTGCTCCCATTAACTACTGATTGGGTGTCCTCTTCAAGAAAACCTGCCAAGTTTTCTTTGTCTAATCAATCAGATTTGTTGAGACAGGGGTAAATGGTAGTGTCATTTGGATAAATACCTAGTTGGGAACTGATGATATTGATGAAGATCTGAAACAGTGTATGAACCAGGATAGAGCCTTGTGAGACACCTACATTTGTGTGAAAGGATGTGGAAGCAAGCCTGTTCAAAACAACATTCATTTCAATATTTGATAAGAATAAATGAATTAAATCAAACATTCATTTGGTGACAGTGTAACCCTGGAGCTTGCATAAAAGACTAGCATGCCAAATACAGTTGAATGCCTTCAAGATAACTAGAGCCACAGCCTGAGCTTCATTGTTCTTAGCTAGGGCTTGATAAACATATTCAGTGATGGCCACACATCAGCAGTAAACATGGTGAAATGGAAGCCATATTGTTTGTCTGAGATGAGCTCATAAGAAGTAAGATGCTTAACCACTTCAGTAGTGATTAGAGACTCGAATACTTTTCCAAAAAGCAGTTATGGACTAAGAGGGTGATAATTTGAGGAGCCAGAGGGTTCTCCAGAGTTCTTAAAAACAGGAACTACAAAGGAGAAACTCCAATAAGCTGGAAAGCATGAAGCAGTGATGAAAATGAATGTAGACAACTGGCACTAGCTCAAGAACACATTTCTTTAGGACGACGGCTGGGATGTCATCACATCTACTCTGGCCTTGTGGGAGTCTAGTTTGGAAATAATATCTGAAACCAGTGACGAGGTTATCACTCAGTAGAACCATCATTCTGAGGCAGAAATCAGGTATGGGTATTCCAGAGGAGTTGAGTGGAAAGTTGGAAGAGAACTTCCAAGCAAAGATCTCAACCTTATCTGCTGTAGATGTCAGGACTTCAAATTGATTGGAGAGAGGAGGAATTGAGCATTTGCTGAGGATGAGAAGCCAATAATCTCTAGAATTGAACTTGTGAGGGGCTATACGTTGTTTCATTCTATCAGCAAACAGTAGCTTAGCTTCATTTGTATTCCATCTTGATTTTATTGCACTGTAAAGAATGCTGGGTAAGACATTGTACTTTTAATATTGTTTTTGGCCCACCAAATTAATTTTGACATGAAAGTATTGTTGAAGAAAATTGTGTCCCAGTATTACACTACAGCAGTTGACCAAATAATGGGTTCAATAAATTTCTTTCCACTTCATGTCAACTGAGAATGTTAGCTCAAGAAGGTGCAACAAGTCACTCTCATTGAAGTTAGCTTTATCAATGCTGATGTAAAGAAGAACGGGAAGAAGTTTTGGAGGCATGAAACCAATCAAAGAACCTCATTATGAACAAATTCACTGACAAATATATTCAATTTGCATTCATATTTCCTGACAGGAAGGTATCTGACAAGAAAAACAAATTTGGAAATTATTTTTCAAAAATTTCTTATACATTAGCAGTTATCTCTGAAGCAAATGAAGACATTCTCTTTGTTTTCTTACAACTGCAACTGTCTCTGGACAGTAATGACTAAACTTGCCAGTTGAACATACTGCTAAGTAACAAATGACCAAATCAGTCTGCAATGAGATTGAAGAAGAGGAAATAGTAAACTAATATTCCCATCAACTGTCCACTGAAGATAGATCAATAGAAATATGTCAGTCCTTGTTGGGTTATTTAATATTGAATATCATACAAGTTACACTACAAAGACTGAACACACTACTCAATAACCATTACAACACACCAAGGCACTTTGAAAGTAAAAATAAAAACAACTAATCTGCAATGATATGGAAGAAAGTAAAGTAATAAATAAGGAATCACACCAATTGTATATTGAGGAAATATCAAGAGAAAATAAAAGACTTCAGGCAAGACATGCCATTAGTCTAAAAGCAACAAAAGAAGAAATGACTAAACCAACCTGAGATGATACTGATGACAGGGAATTGTTAATTAAAATTCCTTTTAATTGAAAGATAAAAATAGATCAAGATGAAAAGCAAGACAAGACATTAAAACAATGTAACAAATGACAACAACAATAAACAATTGAAAAGAGGAAATTCATAAATTTGCATTCCCAGATAATTTTACATTAGAAATATATAAATAGTTGAAAGATTTAAAGAAAGACATGAGACCAAATATGAATATAACAGATGACTAAAGGATGTATAGTGCACCATTACACTGTCTACCAGTAATGAGCTGAGGCCAGATATAAAAAATGCAACTACAGGATTATCATTTACAGTTAAAATATTTTGATAATGCAAATAATACACAATCCAGATATTAATTTTATTTTTTATTTTCTGGTCAAAAATATATACAAACTTTTACTGCTAACTTGGCAACGAATGAATCTAATCAAGTATATTTAATATTTGAATGTAACTATAATTATCATGTTTTACTTACTTTGATTACAACTTTCACTTCTCCATCCAACAGCACAAACACATGATGTAGATTTGCAATCTGAAGAATTCTTGCAATGACATCTTTCTGTGCAAGTTGTTCCATATCGTCCATGTGGACACTCTACAAGGATGAAAGATTTTCTGTTGAATAGTCAATGAATTCTTCCCATTCATAAAAACAAAAATAAATATAAATGCATTTACATTCAAATACATAACAGTTCAGTATTTTTTTCTTTTGTTTCTAATGAAATTTTCATGTTTCTTCAAGAATTAAAATTACTTTCTATTTTGGCAGTTACCTCTTCCAGTATAACTTTTCATTTTTCTTCATCATCAAATCAAAAGTGTCTGTTCAATATTATGGCATTCAAAAATATCTGTACAATATCATGTCTGCTGATACATGCCAATTGGAAATTCTAAAAATCAATTAAGTAATAGATGATTTTACTGATTATATTTTAATAACACTAACATAGTCATGTACAAAATATCAGTTATTGAACACCCAATGAATAAACTTAATTCTTGGTAATAACTGATTGAAACATTAGGATGCTGACTATTGTTTCATAGCCAGGTATCAACAAAAAACAAGATTTTGCTAATATTGAATAATAGAAAACTGAATATTATAAAAATTATTTTTAATAAAAATTTTAATATTAAAATTTTATGACAAAAAATAATTAAAATTTTGGAATTGTGTCAAAATCGATATAAAAATATTTTAAATAAAACAGACAATATTAAATTGCATTCCAATCCAACCATTAGCACAAGTACATGACTGAAATGTACAGTATGCAGGATTTTTACAATGACATCCTTTTTCGTAAGATGTTCCATTATGTCCATGTGGACATGCTAAAAACAAAAGAATTTCTCTTGAATAATTGATGAGTTCTTCCAATTATTTACAATATAAAGAAAAGAAACTGATGTACTTAAAATGTAAATTCTATTAAATTTGCAATTGATTGATAGAAATTATGTTGATCAAAAATAAATTAGTTAAAACTTATTACTGACACACAGACTTTGTAATTCACACATACAAAATGTTATTGTTCTCTGGGCAGTAAATGAAAATAGTCAAGTACATTTAATATTTGAATGAAATTGTAACAGACACTGAAATTTGTTTTACTTACGTTCATTGCAACCTTTTCCCATCCATCCATCAGCACAGAGACATGATGTAGCTGTACAGGAAGAGGAAATTTTACAATGGCATCCTTCTCTGCAATCATTTCCATAACGTCCATGTGGACATTCTGAAAATGTAAAAGTATTTCTGTTGAATTTTCAATTAATTCTTACCTTTGATGACAAGAAAAAAGAAAAGTAAATACATTTACATTTGCACACAAATATTACAAGTAAAGAAATTTATGTGTATAAAATATAATTTCTATTAGATTAGCAACTGACTGATATAAATTGTATTGATCAAACATAAATCATTTAAGATACATATTCATTAGCCCCACATGTAGTTTCTAATTCCTTTAGTTGGGTTATGTTTTCTTCCAATTCATCCATCAAAGTATTTATAGGAAAATATTGAAGTGTAAAAGATATTTCCAATGACATCCATTTTTATAGATTTTTCCATAAGACCATGTGGACACATTAAAGAATGAAAAAAAAATCTTATAATTAATGCCCTCTATAAAATAAATCTACATTTTTTAATAAATTCTCTTTCACATTTCTTAATATTATAACATCTGAAAAGAAATGAATATTTGAATTTGGTTAAAAAATTAAAATAATTCCTTACTAGTTTGGCACTTATCTCCCCAGTATGAATTTTCACATTTTCCATCACTGCATCTCCCATTAGTTTTATTGCACTTGTTATTGTCTGCACAATGACAGGTCTTTATGCAGTCACTGCCAAAATTGCCAATTGGACATTCTAAAAATAGAAAAATAGTAAGTGACAAAACCAATGTGGTAATTTACTAAGATTAAGTTCAATACTTTTGATACAAAACATTAATGTTAGCATGTAAATCACAAATTGAAAAGAGATTGAGTAACAGATTGAAATATTAGGAAGAAAACATGTTTCATGATAAAGTAACAATAAGAAAGCAAAGATGTGTTAATATTGAACAATAGAAAACTGAATAATTTTAAAAACTGAATTTGTTTAACATCATTTTGACAACAACAGGAAACACAAATATATTAAATAGCTGAATTTTATAAAGAAAATTCATATACATTTCTTGATATGAATTCATCTGTTGAGAAATTAAGATCGAATAAAATTCTTACAAGTGAACATGGAAAATCATCAGATTTGAATGATGTCTTTTTTTTATCAAATTGTATGACTGAATTTATATCATTTAATAAAATGTAGTCATGTTGATGAGGCAAGTATATACACACAAACACCCATATATAATTGTAGAAATAAATTCATAACCAATTATATGATGACTAATTAAGTCTTTTTTTCTTCTTTATTTATTTCTATTGCTCTGTATATAAATATATATATAGAGAGGTTAAATTCTAATATTTTTATATTAAAAAGACCACACTGGAATAATCACTACCACCTTGGATTTGGTATTATTTACACACACACACAATATATATATATATATATATATATATATATATATATATGTGTGTGTGTGTGTGTGTGTGTGTGTGTGTGTGTGTGCGCGTGCGTATTGGTCGGTTGGTAATTTATGTTTCGGTATTGGTTTCCGTTTTTTTCTTGATACCGCGGTTTTCGCTCAGGTTTTTCAGTTTTTAATTTAGTATTTTTGTTTTCTAAGGAAGCCATTCATTTTCTAGTGTAATGATAGCATTTCCAGTCGATATCTGATTTTGTTTGAGATTGATAATTTTTACGGGGACCTATATTTTTTGTTCAGAAATCTATAAATAGGAAATTCCTGATCGCTTCAAACAGTCAGACTCGTGGGGGGGGGTGACTGAATATCGTCAGACTTTCATTCCTAGAGAGATGCCAAACTGACGCGCGCAAGTCGAAACTCTGACCAACCAGGACTTTGCCGCGCAAAATATCTCTGACTCAACAATCCACAAGCACACTCTATCTCTCTCAGGAACACTATCTAAATATCACTTACGATACTTTAAAAAGTGACATTTTTCTCACTACTTAATAAGTATTAGTAAACAAACAATTAAATTCTCACACAACTAAAGGTACGCAACGCATACCAATTCTGAACAATAATACAAACAAACTTACGTACACACACTAATAACTGAACTAGCACAAAGGACAATTTCGTACGTAACTGGACACTTAGTTTAATTTTGTGAACAAATCTGAATAGCAATTGCAAAGACTTTCAAACATTCCCAATAATATTCTACGAAACCAAATACATCTCTTTTCATTTATCCATCAAAGTTCAACTCAATTGTATTCTTGAATTGTATATAAACCAATCTTATTGTTGCACATTTAATATTTGTCTTTGCTTTCAATCTTTTTGCATGATTTGTTTCTAATATTTTTCTTTAATTGTTGTGGACGAGTGTTTTAGAACACCAACACTAAAAATACTTCTGATCATTCAAAATGCATTCGCCAGTCTGCAACAGTCGTGTTCACTAAAATATCAAATACAATATTTATAAACCAATCACACTCAAGAAAACACTTACATCTTAAAACACACCAAAATCATTGAATACAAATCAGAATGTTTGTTGTATTAGTCATCGTTATTTTTAGGTAAATACTGACCAAATATCGTGCAGACGTAGTAGAAAACATACCACGTGCCATTTTAGGGCCAATTAGGAATAAATAAATAATTTAATTCTGAAGCCGATTTTGTTACGAAAAAGTGTATAAACCATACGAAATCCATTCCCAAGCAGGATACATGCGGCTGTCACCAAACTCCACGCAATTCTCGCTTATGATCTTCCCGACTTCATGCTAAAAGCAACAGCGTTGACAAACTTCAGACTACGGAAACACTGTCAACAATGAGAAACAATTTCTAACTATCTCTTGTATGCACTTTATGCACACACGTGTTGACTTTTTTATACAAACATATATATCACAACATTTTTCATACAAACATATACCACAACATTTTATTGTTTCTCACATACGTACACAAAGACAGTTTATATTTTATTTCAGAACTTTATTAACCCAAACAAAAAGAGATTACTTTCTAATCTATCATCATGAATCCTTGTCGCTATATTAAATTAATGTTTATTTGTTGAAACTACGTTGTCTTTTCTTCTGTTTTTTATTCCTTCAATGAAAATCGTGTAATTATTCTAGACGGCCAAATTACGAGCGACCCTGTAACGATATTTTGTTAATGTATCGAATCCCGACACTCCAAATTTTAAACATTTAACGAAAAACCCTGTAGAAGGATTCCTACAACATTAAGCTACAACCATATTTCTTTGGTTTTGGTCTAGGTGTTTATTGAAGATGTGTTTCTTAATAATTTTTTCTAAGTTTTCAGTATAACTCTAACTTAATTTTAGTGTATTTTAATTGAAAATAATACTTAGTTTACTTTCTCTAGGAGAGTGCTTAACTATTAATGTAAGGAAATTTTGTCCTAATTTGTTCTTTACCATTTGGTTGTATGGGCGTGTATACGAAATTATTTTTCTACTTCTGTTTTTTCTATGCTTTCCATTTTCCTTTATTATATAAGTTAGTTTTGAGTCTTTGTAGCCACTATCTTTTAGATCCTTATTATAGAAATTAATAAGAAATTTAGACAATATAAAAATAAAAAGAGGGGAAGATAAACAAAAATTATGTAACTATAGAAACACTCATAATTTTCCTCTACAAAATAAATGTCGCACGTAATCATTAGTATACCAATGCAATATCTCATCTATTGAGAATCCAGAAAACATAAAAATCTATATAGGTTGCACAAGCCATGACTTCAAAAAGAGGTTCAATCAACATCAAACTTCACTTAGGATAAATAAATACAGAAATCAGACATATCTTTCAAAATATTTCTGGCACTTAAAAGAATCCAATAAAACACCTACAGTAAAATGGAAATTAATAAGAAAAGCTAGAACATGTAGATCATTAAATGACCCATGTCCTTTGTGTATGCATGAGAAACTATATATTTTATTAAAAATAAAAATTTAAGTATAAAAATACGAAAAAATGCCGAAAAACTTTTTGCCTTTAATAAAAAAAAGAAAGAAAAAGGCGACATGCGTTTAAACCCTACCCTCCCTAAACTTAGCCTCTTTTTCGAACGTAACTCATAATTGATACAACAATAGTTAATAAAGATGAACACGCTACCCCCTGTCTGAGTGATTGGATTTCTCTGTATTCTTGGAAACTGAAAATTATGATTTTATATGTGCGTTTAAAAGTCACTAAATTTAAAAATAAGTTATTCCAATATCTGCTTGAAGATGAAACGGAACTAATGCTTTTAATTTAATTATATAATTAAATTTGAAGTTTTTAGCTTCAGTTTTTGAAATATGGTTATTACTGTGTAGCGAAAAAACATATTTTAAATCAGTTAATTTATAATATTTATGCCCTGTAAATTTACATTGAGCACTGTTTTGTAAAAATAAAAGATATCAATAAGAACACCCGATCATATATCTTACTGTTCTTTCTTTTTATTTATATATACATATATATGCACATATATCTACACACACACACACACATATATATATATATTTACATAATATATATATATATATATATATATATATATATATATATATATATATATATATATATATATATATACATATATATATATATATACAGTTCTAGGTACAATGAGAAAGAATACAACATTCATCACATTTAATTTAAAAGAGAGCTGAATACAGAGTAGAGCAATATTTTCATTTTAGCATATTACTTTCAAAACATGCAAAAGTCGCTACACAATTTCAGTCGTGTTTCAATGCATTTCATCAGGCGATTGTAAATTACTGGCGAGTGAATGATTTATTTTAAGCAAAATACAACCTATTTTTACGACAAAAAGTAAAAGTGTTCAATGTTTGTAGACTTTACTCTGGTCACCCTATCAAATATATCTAAGTTAAATTTAAACTAAGTGAAGAAGCAAAAATTAAAAATTATTTTTTATAATGAGTCAGCACCCGTAGATTGGCAGCTAACGGCAGCCAGACATAAACTAAAGTGGATATATATGGTTGCATAAATTATACGAACCTGACGATGCAGTTTTCTTAAGAAATAAAATTGGGGTGGAGAAGTAAGTTAACAAAATGCTAAACAAGTTAGATGTCTTATGAATTTCCTACAAAATCTTTTTTGTAGTTGATAAATAAATAGCTAGAAGCTAGTAAATAATATAAACATAGAATAATTTGGTAAAGTAATATGCAACTGTTAAATAAAGATCCTTCATATATGATGTTAAGAAAATTAACCAATATAAAATGTCAAAAATAGCAACCAAATATCAATACATCTGTACAAGATGTTACTAATACTACTAGGAGATTAATACAAAATTAAATCCACGTTAATCTTACAAATAGAAAGGTAAGACATATATAGTGCAATGCTAACAATGAATTTTTGTTAAAAATCTGATGATTTTGAGTTTTTCATGTAAACACAGGAAACAGCGTTCATATAAAGATCTACATGTTCTTGCCATTTGTTAAAAAATTTCCATTTCACCTTAGAAGTATTATCATAATCTTTTAAACTCCAAAAATACTTAGAAAGTGATGTATTATTTCTGTAATTGGTATTGTTAAAGGACAAGATATATTTATATCACCTAGTCTTAAATGAATTCATTGTACTACCAATATAGAATTTTTCAACTGTCAGATCTCTATTGTAGAGATAGTACTAAAATAAACTAGAATTTTAGTTAAACATTTGTTTAGCAATGGCCATTAGTCAGAATTGGCACAATTACATTGGCCAATATCATTAATATTTATATTGAAACGTGTATTATGATCCAGATTATTAAACTGGTTTAAAATTTTATTACTACTATAATCTTTTCAGGATTATTGGTGCAGCTATAACTTAGTTTAATGTGTTTCTTTTAAATATTTTACTAAGAGCATTACTTTTAGGAAAATATTTATCAATCAAATGGAGGAACTTATGACCTAACTTAGTACTGACTAATTGATTAAATGGAGATGTGTACCAAATGAGCTTTCTATTTCTTTTCTTTGGACCACTATTCACATATTTTCTAAACTTTTCTAAATACTGAGTACTTGTAACCACAATTCTTTAAAACTTTATTATAAACACTGTTATATTTATCAAATATATCTTTGTCCAATGAGTGGTTTCTAATCCTACATTCTACAGATGAAGTTATATGTTGGATTACAGATGGAGGGTGGTTAGAATTGGGGTGAATATAAATTGGGTTGGCATTATTTTCCATATAAGATTGAAATATATCATTAATGAGATTTAATGTAACATCAAGAAAATCTACTTGGTTAACATTAGTACTTCTCGTAAACTTAAGATTTAAACTTTTTAGTTCACTATGAATCATTTTTCTTAATTTATCTTCCTTAAATTTGGTGGAATTTTTTTTATCATATGAATTCCTCTCTTGTCGAATTTTCTGCCTCTGCGTTCAGAGGAATCCAGACAAGGCTATACCGAAGGACAGAATCTCATTTGAGAAGTAGACAAACCCGACCCCGTGTATATGGTGTCTACTAAAACATTTTATCATTTTTATTTATGCTTATTGTGCTGTAACTTTTATATAATTTGTTTGTAATTTATATATTTCCTTTCTGGGGTTAATCATGTCTTTTTAATGATCAAACAAAATTAATCTCTCTCTCTCTCTCTCTCTCTCTCTCTCTCTCACACACACACACACACACACACACACACACACACACACACACACACACACACACACACACACACAATAATTTAGATAAGTTTTGTCTACTTATTTTCGATAAGATCCTTTCATTTAGCTTTCGAATAAGCTTTTTTGTGCCGCTGAGGAGACACCATGTTGGCTCATATTGTACTAATTCCGAGTACTTTTGACATAGCATAATGTCATCATCAGAATATTGTTAGTTAAACGTAGAGTAAGTATTTAGTGTCCATGATTGTGAAGGACAAAAATTGTTGTGGTATTTTGAAGATTATCATTTTTTATATATAGAGTCACGAACGTTATGTCATGGCTGGTTAACAGACACCATTTAAGGGGAGGTAACTAGGTATGCCATGGAAAAGTTACGTGCTTGAGTAGTTGCCAGATAAAGAAAAAACTATTAGTGACAAGTGCTAACATTTAAAGACTATCTATTGTACACATCTTAAAATGTTTGTAATTAATTTTATTGTGGTTTGGTTTCAAATTTTTTATATAAATAGCTTTGAGAATTTATAGTTTGTGTTTATTCTTTTTGTAGAAAATTATGGAGGTATTAAGTTATTAAGAGGTATTAAGTTAACAAGTAGTGAAACTATTGTTTGAATCGGATAATTCCCTGACAGTAGGTTCACGCAAATATTTCATAATGGAGCATAACGATTTTTTACTTTCATTTTAAAGTACGAGTTTTTAGGGTTATTTGATTTTTGTAAATTTTTTTTTTGTCAATATTCTAAATTTTTCAAATAGATTCCCACTTAAAATGTGTAGCAAGAAATAATGGCAGCTATTGGCGTATATTTATTGCCACGGGCGGCGGAAATAACCGACAGTATTCGGCGGCCTCCGTCAGCTACTCGAAATGAAGGCTTCTTTGATTTTGGCGCCAGAAAAAAAAAGATTCGATTTCTATTTCCCTTATGAATTTCACACTGTAGAATAACAATAATAAAAAGCACTTACCGGCGTAAGAGTTCCAACTAGCGTCCAGCTGGCAGACAAAAATAAAGCAGGTTGTAACTTAATACATATCCTGCAAACTGAGAAATCATGCTAGTATTTATATAGTAATACTTCCACTCAGGTACCAGCAGCCAATCAGGCCAAGCAATGGACTATCCACTTTAGCATAATGAGATGCTCCATTGCACCATAAATAACTCTCTGTCTCTATGTTGAATTAGTTCTTCACTCAGCTTGCTCCACAACTGAGTGGTTATCTTGACCACGTGATTGTTCGACACACACTATGGCACTCTAATCAATTTAAAGAGTTTCTTTATTTTTGTTTTTTACAATTTAGCATAAAAAAAAGCAATAATTCAGTTACCCAACACCACGTCAGATTCTTCTTCTTCTTCTTATTCTTATTCTTCTTCTTCTTATTATTATTATTATCATCAAGATCATCATCATCAAAATGCGAGTACTTTGCTGCTTAAAAAAGATACGTTTTTTCCTTCTTAAATGTCACGCCATGATAGTACTTGTGTTATAAAAAGAAAACAATTCCCAAAAACAGACATAAATGAATATAGTGAAAAGAGGAAAGGTCAGAAACTAAAATTGAAACAGAATTATATTGTGGTTGAAGAGAAAAATAAAATTTAATGCCCAGTCCAAGGATCGATCTCACAACCTTCAGTAAACCAGCTAGAGATTTCATCTAAAGTTTTTACAGAGATGTCACCAGCGTTGATTGGAATAAGATCACCCAGTGGAGCTCTATATCCGACCGCGCCATCTTTGTTATCCAGGATTAATCAACTACCCCAATTACTCGTTTGCTGAGGGAGTCAAGAGGAGAGTGAAAAAAAAAAAAAAAAAAAAAAAAAAAAAAAACAAGACGAGGAAGTCAAAGATTATTAATTCATTTAAATTATATTGAAAGATTTTGAGATAATGAGTTACTTTTTTTTCATTTTCTGGTTAAAAAAAAAAAACAGAAAATGTTATTATTTGTTTAGCAGTAAATGTAAGTAGTGAAGTATATTGAATATTTAAATGGGAATCTAAAAAGATAGATATTCTGTTTGACTTACCTTCACTGCAACCATTTCCCATCCATCCATCAGCACAGGTACATGATGTAGATGTGCAGCGCCAATGATTTTTACAATGGCATCCTTCTCTGCAATCACTTCCATTACGTCCATGTGGACATGCTAAAAATGTAAAAGAATTTCTCTTGAACAATCAATAAATTTTTCCAATTAATTACAATAAAAAAAAAGACATTGATGTTCATAAAATTCAAGTTCTATTGGGTTTGCAACTGATTCATAGAAATTGTGTTGATTAAAAATAAATTAAGTTAAAATTCATTGCTGACACAAATGCTTTGTATTTTACAAATACAAAATGATATTGTTTTCTGGGCAATAAACAAAAATAGTCAAGTATATCTAATATTTGAATGAGAATCTAATAAAGATTGACATTTTATTTGACTTCATTACAACCATTTCCCTTCCATACATCAGCACAGGTACATGATGTAGATGTGCAGTACCTAAGATCACTACAATGGCATCCTTCTTTGCAATCATTTCCATAACGTCCATGTGGACATTCTAAACATTTTAAAAGAATTTCTCGTTAATAATCAATGAATTCTTTCAATTCATAACAAAAAATAGAGAAAGGAAGATGGATTTAGATTCGGATGAAATAAATATTATAACGAGTAAAGAAATTCATGTCTAAAATATAATTTCTATCGGATTAACAAGTAAGTAATAGAAAAATATTTGCAATTCATTCAACGAAGCTTTTATAGGAAAATATTTCAAAAGGTGAACAATGTTTGCAATGACATCCATTTTCATGGACATTTCAATAAAATCCATGTAGACCAATTTAAAAAAAGAAGATAAAAGAATAAACTTCTAATAAAAATAAACAATAAGACACGGACTTGTTTTCTTCAAATTAATAAACATTGAACTTCATTGGATATATTTCATTTTCTTTTGCATTTTTCTTAAGGCAAAAAAGACAGAAACAATTTCTTAGAGAATATTCCTTACGTGTTTGGCATTTATCTCCTGTGTATCCATGTTCACATTTTCCATCAGAACATCGCCCGTCTATTTTATTACATTTGGAATTGTCAGCACAATGACATGTCTTCTGACAATAATAACCAAATTTGCCAAATGGACATTCTGAAAATAAAGTAACAAATGATTAAACCAATCTGGGATGATATTGAAAAGACAAAAAAGGCGTTTTTTCCGTCTTAAAGAGAAAGAAATCAATAAATGACCCATTAAGTTGTTGATGAAACTGAAGAGTAGAATATCGTAAAGTTTTATTTGCAGACAATTGTGCAATGAAAATATTTGAAACTGAACAAGAGGTAAAATATGTTTTGAGTTTAGACGAGACAAAATTACAAATGACTAAAGAAATAAGCAATAATAATGGAGAAAATGGGAAAGCCATGAAGTTGCATTCACATAGAACTGCATCTAGAAAATGAAGGAAAATAATCAAGAACTAAAGTAAAGAGGACATGTTATTAATCTTATAGGAAGAGACAATTAATTAAAACGTATAATTGATAATATTGAAATGACGAAAATAGCAAAACCTTAATTCTCTTAATTTAAAAAAAAACTGAAAAAATAATGAAAAATACAAAAATTTCTTTTGAATCTGAACAATTTTTGTTTTACAGAAAAGAAATTTCTTTAAAATTTTTTATTATTATTCAAAAAGTAAATTAATTAACTAATAAAAAGAAAAACAAAAAAATTCTTTCCATTACCAATTCTACCTCTTTTTTCCGCTCAGATTCTTAAATATTAAATGTTTTTCATTCAACATCTCTGTTGTCGGGTTCTTTCATTGCCATCAAAATAAAATAAAACAAACAATTCCCAGAGAGAAATGAATTTTTTTCTCTTTGGGAATTAATAGAAATAAGTTCAAAGTTTGTCCAAATCCGAGAGATTTTCATCTGACACAAAACATGTATAAAATCTACTCTCACTTTTTTTTTTTTATTTGCCCAGAAATAATTTTTTCAATTTTCTAAGGAAGAGAGAAATTACGAAGTTGCAAAGAAAAACGTCCATTTTGCGGGACAAAATCTTCTCTGATTCATTTGTATCATTGTTTTTAAATTTTATTTTTATTATGATCTGACTGTTTCAATTTTGTTTTTTTCTTGATAGTATTGATATCACACCATGATACTATTTTGTGATATAAAAGAGAAAGAAAACAATTAAAAGAAAATCATAAAGGATAAAAAATGATGGTGAAAGGAGGAAAGTTCAGAAACTAAAAATGACACAGAATTATATTGTGATTGAAGATAAAAATAAAATTTAATGCCTAGTTCAAGGATCGATCTCACAAACTTTAGCCAAACAACTCAAGAATTCAGCATTTAACAGAGATGTCAACGCTGTTGATTGGAATAAGGTGACCCAGTGGAGCTCTATACCCGGTCCTGGCATCTTTGTCACCCAGGATTAACTGTCTACCCCAGTTGGTCAATTGCTGATGGAGTCAAGAAGATAGTGAAAGAAAAAAATAAGACGTGCAAGTCAAGACAAGTAAAAATTATTAATTCATTCAAAATTTAAATTATATTGGAAGATTTCGAGATAATGAATTTTTTTTCTTTTATTTTTCCGGTTAAAGGAAGAAAAAACCCATGGAGAATGTTATTATTTGTTTAGCAGTGAAGGAGAATAGTCAAGTATATAGAGTATTTGAATGGGGATCTAATAAAGATTGACATTTTATTTGACTTACCTTCATTGCAACCATTTCCCATCCATCCATCAGCACAGGTACATGATGTAGATGTGCAGTTCTCAGGATATTTACAATGGCATCCGGTTGTGCAACCACTTCCATTACGTCTACGTGGACATTCTAAACATTTTAAAAGAATTTCTCATGAATAATCAATGAATTCTTTCAATTCATAACAAAAAAGAGAAACGAAGACGGATTTAGATTCGGATGAAATAAATATTATAACGAGTAAAGAAATTCATGTCTAAAATATAATTTCTATCGGATTAACAAGTAAGTAATAGAAAAATATTTGCAATTCATTCAACGAAGCCTTTATAGGAAAATATTTCAAAAGGTGAACAATGTTTGCAATGACATCCATTTTCATGGGCATTTCTATAAAATCCATGTAGACCAATTTAAAAAAAGAAGATAAAAGAATAAACTTCTAATAAAAATAAACAATAAGACACGGACTTGTTTTCTTCAAATTAATAAACATTGAACTTCATTGGATATATTTCATTTTCTTTTGCATTTTTCTTAAGGCAAAAAAGACAGAAACAATTTCTTAGAGAATATTCCTTACGTGTTTGGCAATTATCTCCTGTGTATCCATGTTCACATTTTCCATCAGAACATCGCCCGTCTATTTTATTACATTTGGAATTGTCAGCACAATGACATGTCTTCTGACAATAATAACCAAATTTGCCAAATGGACATTCTGAAAATAAAGTAACAAATGATTAAGCCAATCTGAGATGATATTGAAAAAAGACAAAAAAAGGTATTTTTTCCGTCTTAAAGAGAAAGAAATAAATAAATGACCCATTAAGTTGTTGATGAAACTGAAAGTAGAATATCGTAAAGTTTTATTTTCAGACAATTTTCACAATTAAAATATTTGAAACTGAACAAGAATCAGAGGCAAAATATGTTTTGAGTTTAGACGAGACAAAATTACAAATGACTAAAGAAATAAGCAATAATAATGGAGAAAATGGGAAAGCCATGAAGTTGCATTCACATAGAACTGCATCTAGAAAATGAAGGAAAATAATCAAGAACTAAAAGACATTAAAGAGGACATGTTATTAATCTTATAGGAAAGACAATTAATTAAAAGAGGAAATTAATAAAATAATTCTCTAATAATTTAAAAAATGAAAAACTGAAAACGCAAATTTGCAAAACATGCATTTGCTAAAAAAATTTATAATGAAAAATACAAAAACATATGAATCTGAACAACGTGTACAGAAAGAAATTATTATTATTATTAAGTATTAATTAAGGAAAAGAAAAGAGAAAATTCTTTCCATTACCAATTCTACCTCTTTTTTCCGCTCGGATTCTTAAATATTAAATGTTTTTCATTCAACATCTCTGTTGTCGGGTTCTTTCGTTGCCATCAAAATAAAATAAAACAATTCTTAGAGAGAAATGAATTTTTTCTCACTGGAAATTAATAGAAATATGTTCAAAGTTTGTCCAAATTCGAGAGATTTTCATCTGACACAAAACATGTATAAAATCTTTTTCAGAAATATTTTTTTTTTTTTTATTTGCCAAAGTTGCAAATAATTTCCTTTTTTTCAATTTTATTCTTCTTATTATCATCAGCTTGTTTCACGAAGTGAAATATATCAAAAAACGTCCATTTTGCGGGACAAAATCTTCTCTGATTCATTTGTATCATTGTTTTTAAATTTTATTTTTATTATGATCTGACTGTTTCAATTTTGTTTTTTTCTTGATAGTATTGATATCACACCATGATACTATTTTGTGATATAAAAGAGAAAGAAAACAATTTCTCCCAGAAAATCATAAACGATAATGGTGAAAGGAGGAAAGTTCAGAAACTAAAACTGCCACAGAATTATATTGTGATTGAAGATAAAAATAAAATTTAATGCCTAGTTCAAGGATCGATCTCACAAACTTTAGCCAAACAACTCAAGAATTCAGCATTTAACAGAGATGTCAACGCTGTTGATTGGAATAAGGTGACCCAGTGGAGCTCTATACCCGGTCCTGGCATCTTTGTCACCCAGGATTAACTGTCTACCCCAGTTGGTCAATTGCTGATGGAGTCAAGAAGATAGTGAAAAAAAAAAAATAAGACGTGCAAGTCAAAACAAACAAAAATTATTAATTCATTCAAAATTTAAATTTGAAAGATTTTCGAGATAATGAATTTTTTTTTTTTTATTTTTCTAGTTAAAGGAAGAAAAAAACCCATGGAGAATGTTATTATTTGTTTAGCAGTGAAGGAGAATAGTCAAGTATATAGAGTATTTGAATGGGAATCTAATAAAGATTGACATTTTATTTGACTTACCTTCATTGCAACCATTTCCCATCCATCCATCAGCACAGGTACATGATGTAGATGTGCAGTTCTCAGGATATTTACAATGGCATCCGGTTGTGCAACCACTTCCATAACGTCTACGTGGACATTCTAAACATTTTAAAAGAATTTCTTGTGAATAATCAATGAATTCTTTCAATTCTTTACAAAAAGAGAAACAAAGATGGCTTCAGATTCGGATGCAAGAAATATTATAACGAGTAAAGAAATTCATGTCTAAAATATAATTTCTATCAGCTTAACAAGTAAATATTTCCAATTCATTCAACGAAGCTTTTATAGGAAAATATTTCAGAGGGTGAACAATATTTGCAATGACATCCATTTTCATGGACATTTCTATAAAATCCATGCAGACCAATTTAAAAAAAAGAAGATAAAAGAATAAAATTCTAATAAAAATAAACAATAAGACACTGACTTGTTTTTTCTTAAAATTAAACATTGATCTTCATTATATATATTTCATTTTCTTTTGCATTTTCTTAAGGCAAAAAAGAAAAGAAACAATTTTTTAGAGAATATTCCTTACGTGTTTGGCATTTATCTCCTGTGTATCCAGGTTCACATTTTTTATCAGGACATCGCCCGTCTGTTTTATTACATTTGGAATTGTCAGCACAATGACATGTCTCCTGACATTTATAACCAAATTTTCCAAATGGACATCCTGAAAGAAATGATGAAGCTCATCTGAAATGATATTGAAAAGACAAAACAGTTGTTTTTTCCATCTTAAACAGATAAATAAATAAATGACCCATGAAGTTGCTGATGAAACTGAAGAAAAACTAAAGTTTTATTTTCAGAAATTTCACAATGAAAATATTTGAAAAAAAAATGAAAGAGGCAAAATATATTTTGAGTTTAGACGAAACAAAATTACAAATGACCAAAGAAATAGGCAATAATATTGAAAAAAATGGGAAAGTGGTAAAGTTGCATTCACATAGAATTGCATCTAGAAAATGAAAGAAAATAAATAAGAACAAAAAAAAAGACATTTTATTAATCTTAAAGAAAAAAGACAAAAACGTATAATTGATGAGATTGAAAAGAGAAAAAACCTAAATATTCATTTGCTAAGAAATTATATAATGAAAAATGTAAAAATATATAAATCTGAACAACATGTATAGAAAAAAAAAATTATTTTTTATTAATTAAATTAAACAAAATGACAAAAGATTTTAATTAAAGCAAATGAAATTTTATCAGTCTCAATGTTTTGTACAAACCTGTTAAATTTTTTTCTTTTTAGCTTATCCATTCATACATATTTTAGAAAAAAACCTCAAATTCTTTTGTTAATTAATATTTAAATCATTTTCTCAACTACTTTCGAATAACATCTCGATCTAGTTCTTTGATTGCCAAAAAATAAAATAAAATAAAACAATTCTTAGACAGAAATGAATTTTTTTCTTTTTGGAAATTAACTGAAATAAGTTTAATGTTTGGCCAAATCTGAGAGATTTCCATTTGAAAAATCCAAAAAAGGTTTAAATTCTGTCGTGTTTTTTTTCAGGTTTTTTTTTCAAAGAATTAATATTTTTAAATTTTTTAAAAAAACATTTACAAATATTACAAATTAATTACAAATATTCAAAAATCAATTTTGTTTAACAAAACATTATCAACAATTTGTATCATTTACAAACATTTTAAAAAATGTTACTTTCTAAAGCTAAAATTTACTCAACATATTCTCAGCTTTTTCAAATCTATTATTTATCTTGATAGTGTTGATTTCACGAAAAAGTTCATTGTATTTTTTTTATAAAATCAAAAAAAATAATGCATTAGTAAAAAAAGGCATAAATGATAATGGTAATAAGATGAAAGGTCAGAAACTAAAATTATATTTTTAGTTGAAGAAAAAAAAATTTTTTGTTCAGTCCTTGTTGATCTGTCTTGTTTCAGTTGCGTTTGTTTAGAGAATTCATCTTTCAACAGAGATGTCACACCTGTTGATTGGAATAAGGTCACCTAATGGAGCTCTACACCAGACACTGACATCTTTGTCACCCAGGATTAAACCGCACTTCCTTCAGTTGTTAACTGACCACAAAAAGGAGGGGAAAACAAACAAAAAAAAGATAGAAATGAACAAAGATTATTAATTCATTTAAATTAAATTGAAAGATTTGAGATAATGAGCTTCTTTTAAAAATTAAAAAAAAATGTAAAAAAAAACATAGAAAATGTCATTATTTGTTTAGCAGTATATGAAAATAGTCAAGTATATTGAATATTTGAATGGGGATCTAATAAAGATTGACATTTTATTTGACTTACCTTCATTACAACCATTTCCCATCCATCCATCAGCACAGGGACATGCATATGATGTAGATGTGCAGTACCTAAGATCTCTGCAATGGCATCCTTCTCTGCAAGATGTTCCATTACGTCCATGTGGACATTCTAAACATTTTAAAAGAATTTCTCGTGAATAATCAATGAATTCTTTCAATTCATCACAAAAGAGAGAAACAAAGATTGATTTAGATTCGGATGCAATAAATATTAAAGAATAAAGAAATTCGTGTCTAAAATATAAATTCTATCGAATTAGAATGTAAGTGATAGAAAAATATTTCCAATTTATGCAATTGAGCTTTTATAGGAAAATATTTCAGTGGGTAAAGAATATTTCCACTGACATCCATTTTCATAGAGGATTTTTAAAAAATCCAAAAAAATAAAAAAAAAAAAAAAGAAGAGGCAAAAAAACGAATAAATTTTTAATAAAAATAAAAAATAAGACACTGACTTGTTTTCTTTAAACTAAACGCTGATCTTCATTATTATATATATTTAATTTCCATAATTTCGTTATTTTTCATCCTGAAAAAACAATAAAATTAAAAATTTTTTAGAGAATATTTCTTACGTGTTTGACATTTATATCCTGTGTATGTTCCAGGTTCACATTGCATTATCAAGACATCGATTGGTCTCTATTATTACATTTGGAATTGTCAGCACAATGACATGTCTTCTGACAATCATAACCGAATTTGCCAGACGGACATTCTGAAAATAAAGTAACGAATGTTGAAACCAATCTGAGATGATACTGAAATGAGAAAAAAAAGACGTTTTTTTCCGTCTTAAAGATAGAAATAAATAAATAAATGACCCATGAAGTTGTTGATGAAACTGAAGAATAGAATATCGTAAAGTTTTATAGAACAGACACCCATAAAAACAATGAAAATATTTGAAAATGAACAAGAGGTAAAAATATATTTTGAGTTTACCTGAGACAAAATTACAAAATGACCAAAGAAATCATCATAATATTGAAGAAAGTGGGTAATTTCATAAAGTTGCAATTCCTGAATTTTGATTCGAGGAAAATGAAGGAAAATAAATAAGAACAAAAAAAAAAAACATTTTATTAACCAATTAGCATAAAAATTAATTTTTTCATTATAACTTTGATTTGTAATTGAAAAACGAAAAAGTTAAATATTCAATTCAACAGAATTTTTATAATGAAAAGGACAAAATGAACATCAATCCGAACAACATACATAGAAAGAAATTATTTTCATTAAAATTGACTAATTAAAAATTGTTTAAGAAAACATAAAAGGTCCTTTGATATTCATTACCAACTCCTCCCATTTTTCATCCCTCAATTTTCTTAAATACACATACTTTTTACTATTTTTTTTTTTTTTTGTCGGGTTCTTTCATTGCCATCAAAATAAAATAAAAAAATGCATTCCAAAAAAAAAAAAATGAATTTTTTCCTCTTTGGGAATTAATCAACTCAAGTTCAAATTCTGGCATTGATAAAAGTTGATTTCTGTTGACACAAAACATTTATTTAAAAATTTGTTTTTTTTTTTTTTTTTATTTAAAAAAATAATTCTTTTCAAATTTGAAAGGAAAAATAGTTGAGATTGAATTAAAAGCAAAGTCCTTTTTTCATGGACAAAATTGGTTCTGATTCATTTTTATCATTGTTTTAAAATAGTTATATTTTATTTGAATGGGAATCTAATAAAGATTGACATTTTATTTGACTTTACCTTCATTGATAGCCATTTCCCATCCATCCATCAGCACATGATACATGATTTTGTGCTGGGCATTATAAAAGAGAAAAACAATGGCATCCTTTCTCTGGAAAATGTTCCAAACGTCCATGTGGACAGGCTAAAATGTAAAAAAATTTCTCTTGAATAATTAATGATTCTTCCAATTCATTACAATAAAAAAGAAAAGACATTTATATTCTTAAAATTCAACTTCTATTGGATTTCAACGATTCATAGAAAATTAATATTCAAGAAAAGGGGATTTAAAAGAGATGTCACCAGTATTCCATTGAAAATGAAGGAAAATAAACAAGTGGAAATTAAACCCGGACTTATTATGGGGAATTTGTCAAAAAGGATTAAATTTTTTTAATTTTATTGACAAGAGGAGATTAAAGGAAAAAAAAATAACATTAATTATTTGTTTAATTTCCATAACGTCTAAAGTGAAAATAGAAAAGTCAAAGAAAATAGAAATGTCTTTTTTGAGTTGGGTGAAATTAATAAAGATTGATGTTTTCTTTTATAAAACTTATCTTCATTCAAAAATTTCTCCCATCCAGCATCACAAATGATAGATTTGCATTTCGAATTAATGAAAACAATGGCATCCAAATTATTTCAAATTTCCATTTTACGTCCATTGGACAAAATAAATTGTAAAATTTCTCTTGAATAATCAATAAACTTCTATCAATAATTTTGTTTTTCTGTGTTGATATCACAAGATGACATTTTTGTCTAAAAAGAAAATGGTATAAATGAGGATACTGCAAAAAGAGTGAAACCAACATTTCCAGAATTATTTATTGAAATATATTCAATAGTAACAAGAGTTATATTCACTACTGATGGACTTGCTCGCAAAAAAATTAGGGAAATAGTTTTTTTATCAGCATTTATTAGTCGACATTCCAGGTACGATTTTTGTCAGAACTGAAAAAAATAATGGATTTTTTTTTATCATTTTAAGTGGGGGGGGTCCTGTTAATAGTAGAACAATTGTATCAAAGCAATGACTATTTTTTTAAATGCATTATCTTTAATCTTTTAATGCCAAAAATTTGGGCTAAAAACCTTAAGAACGCATTAATCTCCTTTTAATAATAATTTTGGTTTTATTTGAAAAAATAAAAATAATTTCATATATTTCAATAATAAACTTTTGCGTTTATATGAGGGTTTGTTTGATTTTGGAGTCAGAAAAAAAAAAACAGATTCGATTTCTACTTCTTTAATGAATTTCACACTATGGAACTTCAGTCAATTTAAAGAGTCTCTTTACCATTATTTTTGTTTTTTATAATTTAGTATTAAAAATAATAACAATTTAGTTAGTTACCTTCCATATCATGAATTATTATCATCATCATCATCATCATCATCATCATCATCATCATCATCAAAAGTACAAAGGAGAGTACTTTGATGATGATGAAAAAAATACGTTTTTTTTAAAATGTCACAAAATGATTTTATTTATGTTTAAAAAGAAAACAATTCCACCAAAAAAATAGAACATAAATGATGATAGTGAAAGTTTTGTTTTTAGAAACTAAAATTGACACAGAAAATTATATTGTGGTTGAAGAGAAAAATAAAATTTAATGTCCAGTCCAATGATCGATCTCACAAACTTCAGTTAACCTGCTAGAGACTTCATCTTTTAAAGTTTTAACAGAGATGTCACCAGTGTTGATTGGAATAAGATCGCCCAGTGGAGCTCTATATCCGACTCCGCCATCTTTGCTATCCAGGATTAATCAACTACCCCAATTACTCGTTTGCTGAGGGAGTCAAGAGGAGAGTGAAAGAAAAAAAAAAGAAAACAAGACGAGGAAGTCAAAGATTATTAATTCATTTAAATTATATTGAAAAAATTTGAGATAATGAGTTACTTTTTTTTCATTTTCTGATTAAAAGAAGAAAAAAAAAACAGAAAATGTTATTATTTGTTTAGCAGTGAATGTAAGTAATGAAGTATATTGAATATTTAAATGGGAATCTAAAAAGATAGATATTCTATTTGACTTACCTTCACTGCAACCATTTCCCATCCATCCATCAGCACAGGTACATGATGTAGATGTGCAGTGCCTAACATCTCTACAACGGCATCCTTCTCTGCAAGATGTTCCATTACGTCCATGTGGACATGCTAAAAATGTAAAAGAATTTCTCTTCTTGAATAATCAACGAATTCTTCCAATTCATTACAACAAAAAGAAAATACATTGATGTTCTTAAAATGTAACTTGTATTGGAACTGATTCCTAGAAAATGAAGGAGTATAAACTAGATCTAAAGAAAGATATCTTTTTTAGAGAAAGAGACAATTAAATAAAACGTATAATTTATGGAATTGAAAAGAGGAAATTAGTAAAAGAAATATTCATTTCCTAAGAAATTATAAAGTGAATCTGAAAATATATGAATCTGAAGAAAATGTAAAATGTCTTTTGAGTTGTAGGGGCGAAATTTGATTTTGGTTCTATAAGAAATCTCTTGCAGCAAAACGTCCTTTTCCAAAATTCTCTGCCTGAAATATTTCAGAGTCGTCCATGCTCAATTTTATTTTTCTTTTAAATATAATTAATTAATTCTTTTAATTATCAATTTCACCTCTTTTTCGCCCATCGGATTCTTAAATATTAATGCTTTTCAGTTTTTACATTTCTGTAGACGAGTTTTTTCGTTACCACCAAAATAAAATAAAACAAACAATTCTTAGACAGAAATTATTTTTTTTCTTTGAAAATTAACTGAAATAAGTTTAAAGTTTGTCCAAATCCGAGAGTTTCATTTGAAACAAAAAATGTACGAATTCTGTACTCATATTGTTGTAGCAGTATCACGGAACTATTTCCCTATGCATAACCAGTGAAACGCCATGGCGTAGGGATACTATAAAAACACACCGATTTACTTGCTCAACAGCATTGGGCCTAGCACATAAACTCAGTGTCTTGTTATTGTACATTATTGTTAATAAAGGCTTATTAAGTTATTAGCGCCTCACTTGTAATTAGCACGATAATATAACATCTCCAACTTTACATGGTGGCAATGGAAAAAAGACACTTTCTCACAGAAAAACGAAAGAAAATCAAAAAGAAAACGAACGACAACAATAACAGACATCGGAAATAAACAACCTGAAACGACACGAAAAACATCACACAGCATAAAGTAACAAGAAGCACAACAGACCCTCCAAAAGACGCTGAATCGCCTAACAAGATAATACATACATACTTTCTGAAAAGAAAAAAAAACTCTTCAACAAACAGTTTCTGTGTACTTATATTGTAGTATTGTGGTGGTACTGAGCAAGTGAAGGACCGGATGTTAACCCTCAGAGGTCTAGATAGCAAATGACCAAAACTGGTCTTTGCGCACCAGGCTCGACGCATAAGTTCCGGTGGAAAATCAAAAAGAAATAAAAAGAATATAATAAGCAATTTCCACCAATTAAACGGCCCCGCGCCATATCCAACAGTTTGTTTCAGCATACTGACTCAGATCCGATGGACACACATAAATAGAACGATGAATTCACTTCTGGTCAGAAAGCCTTGAAGTTACCGTCATAGAATGTCGCTACGCTTTTCTCACCCATCAACCCGACGCCTCCAGTTTTCCTTCACCAACGGAGATATCAAATGACACCTACCAACCCATTGACCTCACCTTTCATCTCCTGGGACCTGCACGCCTAAACTTAAGTATTCACAAAATGACACTTTAATTCCTTTCATAATCTGATTTCTTTTCTTTGAATGAACATTTTAATAACGGACTTTGTGCGTGTTAATCAAGAAACATTATACTTATCATTGATGTGTATTTAAATATAAAGTGTTTCTCATATACCCTTCTCTTTCATATTTTGTTTGTTTATGTTATGGTGACCTCAATTTGATTGCTTGTTGAACCTTTAGGCCAAACTAGCAGCTGTCCATAAGTGACTGCTACTGCTTACCTACCTTCTTATACAAGCAACAATTACCAACGAATATACACTTCCCACAAACACCACAGTATCCTTAACGGAGACTCTGCTATATTTGTTCCTTCCTATAAACATTCTCCTTCCCTCTACAACACGTGTACATCTTGCTCACAGTGGTTCAACAAGATTATTCGTGTATTATCCTCATATTTGCATATTTACTCGTCTATAACATGGCAGCTAACGGCATTCCCTGTATGGACTGGAATACTCCTAACACTGCTGAAACATTTAAATTGTTTAAACAAAAAATGGAACGCTATTTTTTGGTGAACAGAATTAAAACGGAACAGCAAGTAAGCCACACGCTCTCGAGTAGGAGACGAAGGCCTAAAACGGTATAATTCTTGGATCCTCACTGAGGAAGAAAAGCGTTCTCCTGATAGTATCTTTAAAAAGTTCTTGCAGCAACTGGAACCAAAGGAAAATTTCAGGGTAAATCGTCTCAAATTGATGTCATAAAGACAAAAGTCCGAAGTGTCGATTGATGATTTTGTCAATAGATGCAGACGACTAACACAAAAATGTGCACTGTCAGAAAATGAACAGCAACAGTGGATAATCGAAGTTATCATGGCTAGAACTCCATTTGCTGAATTCCAGAAAGAACTGCTACAGAAGGATGATAATCTCTCACTTGAATAGGTGATCAACATTGGAAAAAATTATGAAGCTTCCAACGCCCACATAAAGCAACTCAAAGTCATACAAAACAGTAACAACGAAGACAGAAATATTGTAATACAAGCTATAGGCCCACCAACACACTCACGGAATGGGAAAAATGCCTAAACTGCGGTAAAATACACGCACTTCACTGGGAAGCATGCCCAGCATTTGGGACAATATACAACGTATGTGGAAAAGCCAACAACTAGGCAACAATTTTCTTGTCGAGCAAAACAAAAAACAAATCCAAGGTCAAGATCACGAAGCCAATGCCATAGCAAACCAATGTCACAATACCAGCTACAACATAACAGGAATTCACATGAAGAAAGACAATCAATCTGTACAGACATGGTATATAATGCACAAGGGATAGACGAAGAGCTCGAAGGACTAACATTTAACAGCATTAAAACGTCCCCTACCACCCAGTGTGATGAAGCCTTAGTTTATATCGATATTAGACTGCCAAAAAGAAATGGAATCCACAGGCTGCAAGTGAAAATCGATACGGGAGACCAAGGAAACACATTACCAGTCTTTACATTCCGTAGAATGTTCCAGAAAAACTGGACCTGAATGTTTTCCCAAAACTAGCAACAAAACAGAACTGATAGCATACAACGACACTCCAATAACATAAATTACGGCAGCATTAACATATTATGCAAATATAATAACTCGGACTGGAATGACAGCACTTTCCACATCGCAGACGTACAAGGACCAGCAGTTTTAGGACTACCATCATTAGAAAGGCTCAGACTAATTACACTACACTGTACAGCAACAACACTAAACAAACACCCCCCTGCAACACACATAAATACGATCGAAGAACTTATATACCCATAGCCTGACCGCTTTGACAGAATTGGCTCTATGCCAGAGTCTATGAAGCTCTCATTCAACAAGAGCATACAAACACACATTGATGCACCTCGTAAAACTCCGATCGTATTAATAAAAAGTATAAAGAAGAACTTGACAACATGGTTAAAAATAAAATCATTAGAAGGGTGACCGAACCCACAGTGTCAAACCTGGCCTACTTGCACAAAAAAGATGGGAGTTTGAGAATCTGCTTAAATCCAAGCCACCTAACCACTTCACTCAAAACGCCAACAATGGAAGAGCTAATGCATAACTTTGCAGGCGCTAAGCTATTTTTCAAACTTGATGCCAAAGCTGGCTACTGGTGCATACACCTAGATAAAGACTCCCAACTCTTAACAACATTCCAATCACCTTTTGAAAGATATTGCTTCCAAAGATTACCATTTAGATTGAATGTATCACAAGACATCTACCAAATGAAAATAGACCAAATACTTGAACAGATTGATGGGGCAACAGGAATAGATGATGAGTCGCTATATACGCCAAATCAGAGGAAGAACACAATAAAAGATTACACAAGCTCATGCAAGTAGCTGCAGAGAATGGCTTCGTGTTCAACTCAAACAAATGCAGAATCCAAGTCAAGAGCATAGCTTTCTTTGGAATGACATACAATGAAAACGGCGTCAGTCCAGACCCCTAAAAAATCAATAACCTACGCAACATGCTATCACCAACTTGTAAGAAAGAACTGCAAAAATTTTTAGGCTTCCTTACCTACATGTCACTATTCATCCCAAACCTGGCTGACAAAACAGACATACACTGAGATGTCTAATAAAGAAAGAAGCAGCATTTCTGTAGGAAAAACATCTTAAAGAATGTTTTGAAAAACTCAAAACAGAAATCAGCCAAGAGACAACTCTAGCCTACTTCAACAAGAATGAGATGCCAGTATTGCAAACAAATGCAAGTCTGAAAGAACTTTGAGCTGCACTGATTCAAAAAAAACAACCCCCCCCAAAAAAAACAATTGCATATGCATCAAAATCCTTATCAAACACAGAGAAACGATATGCATGCATAGAAAGGGAACTGCTAGCATTTGTGTTCGGAGTCCAAATATTCCACACATATCTATACGAGCGTCATTTCGAAGTACTCACTGACCACAAACCACTAGTCATAATACTGCAAAAGCCATTAACCAGCGCACTTCCTAGACTACAGCGGATAATAATAAAACTACAGGGGTACCGAATACACATAGAGTATGTGCCTGGAAAAGAAATTACTATAGCTGTTCTGTTCAATGTACAATAGACTGACTAGCACTCATCTCCCTTTACCGGCCCCTTTAGCTTGGGGGCTTCTTTCTGACCCTACGCCGGTTGAAGTTTCCCGGTGCTCAGCCCCTATCTAGTTTAGCTGCTCTCAGCACGGCCGCATGGCATAGTTTTCATCCTTTAAATATCATGTCATTCTTGGACATCTCCGGTCAGAACTATCGCCTTTCTTTCTTCTTATTATGAAATTATTTAATGCAAGCATTATTTTTTAGTATCATTTCCTTCCTATAAACGAACTTTGTTTACCTTCTCACCACGTGCGGAACCTCCATCTTTCCTCTCGGAATT